AATTACGAAATATTCTTAAAGAATTTATACGAACAAGTTTTTAAAACATTATAGTTTGTTTATCTCACACATACCTAAGCTTTTTAGCCTATATTATATATAACTCAAATAATCGTTCGCATAGAGTTAAAATTGTTTGCAATTTTTCATAAAATTAAGCTCATAATATGATACACCATATTTATCAAAGGTTCAAACTTTATACAAAATTTAGAAAGCTACAATTTTTTTAATTTCCAAGCTAAAAAAACTGTAAACCCAAAAGCTCTGGAAACTTTTTTAAAAAGTTAGAAATTTTAATAGAATTATGTATTTTTCTAAATTTTGTATAAAGTTTGAACCTTTGATAAATATGGTGTATCATGCTATGAGCTATATTTTTATGAAACATAGCAAACAATTTTAACTCTAAAATCTTTGCGAATATTGTTTAATATGATTTTACGAACGATTATTATTAAATAATTATTTGAGTCATTACATACACTTTGAAGTTTTTAAAATATCGCGTTGATTTATGGCAATTTTTTTACACATTCGAAAATGTTTTTTGTATTGAAGAAAATGTGTAAAAATCAACGCGATATTTTAAAAACTTCAAACTTGCACTTTATATTAAAATTGGATGGGATACAAAAATGCGTGCTCGAAAAAATTATAAAAAATCGAATTACAAAGTTCAACATTATTTAAATGTTCCTGAGTTTTGCACAAAGCTTAGAAATTACAGCTTTAATGTTTTTTGTTGCATATTTTTATAAAACATCAACGAAAACAATTACAGTAGAATTTTTTGCATACATTATTACAAATTCTCTGTGAAAACACTTTTTTCCGTGAGTGTATGTAATGGCTCAAATAACACAGGTCTGCAAAAAAAATGGGTTCGGAATGTTCTATAAAAGTGTAGTGTCATTTCCGAAGTAATTTTTTGCGTAGAATCCGAATCCGGGGTTTAAATTGCTCTATCACGTCAGGACTTTGAGATATCCTAACCTAAAAGTGCAAAAAGCGCTGTTTTTGCCCATTTTTGAGGTTATGTAGCTACGAAGATTTTGCTCTTCATAAAAAAGTAGACGTGGTATTTTAAAGTATAAGTCTTCCTCTTTTAAATGCCGTTGAGTTTGCTCAAATATCTTAATTTTTCACTGAGATATCGCATTTTGAAGTCTCCATATATAATATAGGCTAAAAAGCTTAGGTATGTGTGAGATAAACAAACTATAACGTTTTAAAAACTTGTTCGTATAAATTCTTTAAGAATATTTCGTAATT